AAGTAGGTAGTACAAAACCTACAATCTAAGATGTATTATATGAGAATGATAATGACCTATATATTACATTTCCTCCCCAAGGACAATAACAAGACATCATAATTGCTATATTTTAACATTAAAAAAAATAAATTCTTTTGTATTTGTGTTTCTGAAATCTCAGCAGAAAATCATACATCGTAAGCTCTTCGCATCTTCTGAAACAATGTCTGTTTGATAACTAACAAAAAGCCTTGCTTAAAGACAGAAAACAAATTTCAGTAGTTTGACCCAAAAACCTGAGCTGCACATACACATACAGATCACAGTTTTGGTCATATGCTTGGAAATAACATACAAAAACATACAAAAACTAAAAAGAAACAGAGAAAATGGTATTACCCCATTCTAAAACGTTCTGAATGTTTTTTTTTTTTTTATTATTATAAAGATTGAGGTAAGATTTACTTACATGTATACTTTCTTATTGGTATAGAAAATTAAAAAAATAAAATACCAGATCTGGAATTGCCACCCCCTGCCCTTGGGCTCTCCTACCTGCCCAGGCCCAGCCCCAGATGAGCTGCAGCAAGGCTACAATCCAGCTCCCTCCAGCCCTGCCCTGCCTGGCCATGCCTCTTCCCAGCCTGGGCCACCTGCAGGCCATGTCCCAGTCTAGCCTCAGCTGAACGCTGGTCTCAGGTTCCAAGAGGCTCCTCCGGCTGCACTGCTGCAGGCTGGGACTGTGGGATGGGACCTAATTTCAGGCCATGTTAGGTCCCCCAGAGCACTGGCCAACAGGGAGTCCCACCGTGCCCTTTGGCCATAAGGTTGAAGGTAACAAAAGTTTGCATATTCAACAGAACATTCAACAACTGTAGGAAAATCTGGCTACCATTTGCTCACTGATCTCTTGGTGAACTATGCTAGTGTTGATTATGACTTTTAAATCCTTAAATAGCCTGAGGTTGGTGTATCAGAATGATTGCTTCACTTTCTGTGCTCACATTCAATAGCTGTAATCAGCACAGCCTTTCAAATGAAATCTTCATTATAAAAGACAAAGGAGAGGGAATAGAGAAGCAGATACAGCTCCTGAATCCTGCGATTCTCTCCTTAACTTGATCCGAAAATATCTAAAACTAGTACAGTTTGAAAAAAAAAAGTTATCTTCTGAGGGAGTCTTTGAAGAAACGGGCAGCATGCATCTCAGATGAAGAGAACTGCAAGCTGTTTGAACAGATTGGCACAGAATTTATTTTGTATTACATGATTTTCCTGATTGAACTTATAAGAATGTCTAACAACTTTGGTTAGTATTTTTCATATAAATAAAAACAGTTATAATCCTACTTCTAGAAGGATTTATACATGTTTTTTGGGTAATGATCGTGAGAAAATTAATGACTTGATAGTGTTAGTAGCAATTCCTTTCAACAACTTTTTCAAACATCTATGAATCATTTGGTAACACTTTAATTAAAAACTAAATTCTGCAGCAACATTGTCAAGATAGATGTCTGTTTCATTTAAAATACATCCATCATACATTTTAGCAGTTTATGGTTGTTCTTTCTGGCTGTACAAAGACAACTACATTGCTGCTTCTGGTCACAGTACAGAAGGACCAGAAAACCCAGTTTAATCTTGACAGTCTCCATACTGTCTCATACTAGAAGAGTAACAGTCTTTTGGGTGCTACTTTCTAAAGAATGCAGGATCTTCTGCCTCTCCCTGTTAAAATACAGCCCTGGAATTCACCCATTGACTACACTGTGGCAAGAAGTGGCTGCAGTGCTGTTTTATCACTCCTGATTTAAATCAGACTGATAAAAAGACTTTCTATAAAGTTGCAGCATGGTTTATCATTGGCTGCTGGGAAATAGTCATGACTCATGATTAGTTTGCATCATGACTTGAGTTGTGAGAGCAGTTAACTGTCCCTGTGTAAAAGCATTTATATCTGAATATTAACCATAAATCTGTCTGAAAAATTTGAACAGAAGAAAACAGTGATTTGCTTTCAATTATATAATGTTGACCAAGTATGGAAATTACAATGACTCAACTACAGATAGTAATATGGGACACTGACTGTCAGTATGTATCCCTCTCCCTCAGGCCAAATACTACGATACAGCACGAATATGGATCTTACCTACTTAAGTACAATAAGAAACCGTCTCAAAGCATGTAATATTTTTATCAATCAAAAGACTTAGAAGTATTAGAAATGTTTTAGGAACGCATAAAGAAAATTACAAGTCTTCACTCTAACAAAACCGTCATTAAAAATTCTTTCATGAACCAAAAATACAGATTTAGAAGAGGGTATCTCAGTGTTTTCTGTAAGGACAACGTAAATAGGCTAAAAAAAATTAAGCAAGGTTTAAGCAGATGTTTTAGAAAACTTCCTGAAACTCTATGAATGCTTAGGAAATAGAAAAACGTTTAATTTTTCAGAAAGGTTCCAGTTACGGTTATCAGTACTCTCATAAAAAAGATTTTAATACTGTTTTTCAACATCTCCATTTGGAAGATTTTTTTCTCCTCTGGACTGCTCAGTCTTTGTTTTGGCAACATAACTTGTTTTTCTGCTGTGTCTATATAACACATTAGAAACATTTTTAACTCATGAAATATCTTCAACAACTTATGATAAATGTTTTTTTGATCTCTTTTGATTTCTTTGTACTACTCTGTATGCTACTGCGTGGTGTATTTAGAAAAAAAGATGTCTCCTGCTTAGCCAATGTTTGAAATTTTGAAGTAGCTTTTGATCTCTAAAGTAGTTCAGAAATAAATTCAGAGAAATATAGACAATATAATCTCAATTTTTCTGTGCAGGAGAATAGAGAAAGAGATTTCTCAAAACAGGCTGTATTAATTATGGATTTGTGATGAATTTTTAACACTGTCCACCATTCTCTCAGTAAAGTTCACATTTTCAATATCTATTCCTGTTGCCCAACTATTTGTAGACGAAGATGATTCTTCAGGTCCCTTCTATGATTACTAGTTTTCTGCCATCACTTAGAGGAGTCTCTAATCACACATACTGTAATGAGTTACCTTTAAAAGTGTGATTTATTTTGTTTTTTGTTTTTTTCCCAAAAAACTCTCAGTGCTAGTTAGAAGACAATGGAATTAAAATGAAAGCACTGATTTGAGGTAAGATAAAAACTCTGAAAACTTACTGATGAGGAAAAAGAAAAAATGGATGTATGATGAATGGCACAAAAGGAAGACAATGGAGAAGATGTGACAGCATGTAGGAACTAACACAGTCTTTTTCTCAATTAAGCTGTCTTTAATTGCAGTGAGAATGGGGGCAGAGATTGTAAAAATCTACTTCACATAGGTACTGTGTTCATAACTACTGAAGGCATTTGTATCTGTCACACTGCTTCCCACCTGCAAAATAAGTTCCAGTACAATCAGACACTGTACTAAAGTAATTCCAAGCAGATGAAATTATGTGATACAGCAAACTCCATAATAAGCTGTAGGCAACATCTCAGGACATGTAATGCTGATAGAATATTTCAAAAAGCTGTGAACTTTTGAAGAAATCAGCAAGAGGCAACTCTGGTAATAGAAGTTCGTGAAGTTATACATCTTTTCTACACAATCAATCTTTTTACAAATCTCATGAACATAAACTTCAATAATAGAAAAGCATGAGGACTAAGGTCAGTATATTGTTGTACAAAGTTAATACTGAAGACTTTTTGTCATTCTGATTTTGCATTTAAATTAAGCACGGTAGCACTGGCTAGTCTTCATTTCAGAACACTGCAGCCTACTACACAGACAGGTTACCACAAGTTTTATTATGTGGTACACTGTAGTTGTCATCAGAGAAACTTTCTGTCAATTCATTGAAAAAAACAGCTAAGAGAAAGAAAACTTGAATACATTTTGAAACATAATCTTAAAAGAGGCACAGTAATACCGATTAATGTGTATGCCTTGCCACTAGAGGAAACTTACTGTCCTCTTTTTGGTCCCCTAGTACTGAAAAAATGCACATTATAATGAGCTAAAATGAATGCTGCTAGTACTACCGTTACAGTTACCAAATATAGTTAAGAAAAGATAGAAAGTCATGTTGTTTTGAGTATTTGTTAATTAATGTATGTTTCTTTGAAACAATTCTATTTTTTTTCATTGGATCATACTCAGTGCAGAGATTTTGTGTGTGGCTCATGTGATGTGATGACACATTAGATCATTTACTACATTTATGATCCCCTTAGTGTGGTGATAGCTCCAAAACAATTCACCTCCTGCTGTATGAATCAGAACACTGTTGGGACTACTTTGACTTGCACTATCTGCTGAAAATGCCAAAGTGTAAATTATGGATGGAAGGCATGTACTTAAAGAACTCTTGTATGCTTACACTGTTTTCTGCATTTAGAGACATACAAAGAAGGCAGAGATCCAGTAGTGAACTGGACTGATTTTTAGTATTCCCACCAGTGTAACAGTCAATAAATATCTAGCAAATGCATTTTTGCATCACCTATTGAACAATACTTTATAGATTTGCTTTTGAAACAGGTATAATGAATACTGACAGGCATGTACAAAGGTTACTAAGTAGCTCAAAATCGGTAATTAAAATAAAATAAAATCAGATAAAACATCACATAATAGCTTACTCAACATTTTAATTTAATTGTGTATGTAATATGCATTCTCAAACTAACTCCTCTGTGATTTCTACTGTCTTTGAAATTTACAGCTTCACAAATATTCTTTGTCTCTACTTGAAAACACAGTGAAAAAATGGGAAATAATAGTACATTTGTTCATCTAACTTATGTAAAACTAAAAATTGATAATTGATCAGAGCAAGATTTCTAATTGGTGCAGAAAGGTCTGACTACCCGGTATTAAGTGGAGATACAGCCAGGACTAATGGAGAAACAGAGAATCAATTAACACGCATTTGAATTCTCTTCCCTTGATATTCTATCAGTTAAAATATTTCCATTTATTTTTCGTAAACTTACTTTGAACTCCATGGGAGCGAACAATCTTCCAGGTTTCTGAGGCTACCTCTTTTACATCCACTTGGTAGTGATGAATGGGCACACCTCCATGTGAATCTGGCTTAGTGAATGAAACCTTGGCAGTGGTTTGTGACAACTCTAAAACTCGTACTCCATAAGGATTTGATGGCACATCTAGAAAAGTACAAACATCAATTTAATGATCAGCAGCAACTAGACAGATCTAAACTAACTAATCTACCCCAAGAAGTCTGCTTAGCATCTTGAAGGGAGAAAAAACTTACTGAATGTGATGAAATGATGTTCACTTCAGGTAAACACTTAAGCTGTAAGACAGATATATTTATTTTCTTGTACGGTAAGGATATGCAAAAAATATTTTCCATTTTTGTGTGCCTTTTATAATATAATCTTTTTGATAGTTAACTTTGTTGTAGGCAAATGAAAATGTTGATTGATGAGTTTGTTTGGTAAATGATTATGTGAAGGAGAATAGCAAACTGAAAATTTAACAATCAGGACAATGACAGCTAAACAGATCATTCAGAGACTGAATTTTTCTAAATAAGATTATGGCAAGAAACTGCAGAAATCATTTGGCCATTTTTCTGAAACTGAAGTACAGCTGAAAACATAAGTTTTTGTTTTTCTGATATGTGATAGATTGGATTCCAAGCTACTAGCAAGGAATATTAGAGGAAGGTTTCTCTTTTCAGTTTAAGAAATAATTTTCATAATAGCATGTAAGAAACACATTTTCTCTGAAGTCAAAAGTAAGTGCATAGCTCTTAAAATAGAAAAGAACTAGAGAAATATAGTAGTAGTCTGTAGTTGAAACACTAAATATGAAATAAAGGTGAAAAATCAACCTCACAGTCAGTACATCTTCAAAAACGTAAACATTATTTCACTCTTAATGTATATCCAAATTAACTATACAGAAGACAAAAAGCTAACTTATAAAATTGTTCTAGGTTTTAAAGCATTACAATTACAAAAAAAAAAAAAAAAAAAAAGTATTGAAAATGCTAGGATGAATTTCAATTTTGTAGACAGAGGATCAAGAATTTGAAACACTTGAGTATTCACTTCTAATACATTTCACAATTACTTGCATATCTAATTACAGATGTGGCATTTTCTTTGTATCTCTGGTATGGAAGATATGTTCTGAAGACAAGCAAGGGCTTGAGCCAAAGCTGATCATTAGGTCACTGGGTATTCAACAATTTACATAAAATGCAGTCTTTATTCAAGGGCTGTTAGGCAGTTGGGAATAAAAAGAATCAATCTGAAATTCAGCCAATACTGGTACCTAAATGAAAATGAGCCAGAAATTGTTATAAAATACTCAAGAACAGGCCTTAGAACACATTCATCCATGAATTCTCATGAAAAAGACGCTTGGCAAAGACACTATATAGGGGTGGAGCGTGGATTTATCCAACATTTTAACAGTCAGGTACCTATATTCTCCCAGAAAACTTCTGTGAGACTTGCAGAGCTGAGTGCCTGAATCATACCTCTTGGCATTCCTACAATTAAAATTTCTGAAAATAGGTCTCCTGAAACTTCCAGTGCTTGGTGCTTTTTGGGTTAAAACCAACACAGTTTTATTTATGCGGACACAACTAAATAGCTCCATGAAATTTAAAATTTGGGCAGAATACAAATGTCATCTTGAGGGATTCAAACCCCCAAACACTTCTGTATTCCAGGAAAGTTTCCTATCACTCAGATATAGGATGTCGCAGAAAAAGTCCACTCTTCTTACGGAAGTTGTTTTATTGTACATAAAGGAATTCAACATTCATAGTCAGACAGAGCATGGCAGAATGTAACACAGTATTCTGTGTGTCTAGGAGAACAGTTAACTGGGTTTTGAATCTTTTCTAATAGGATGCTTTACTTAGATAATCAAGACATCCAGAATTTAAACCAAAACTGATCAAAAGTTTGTTTTTCAAGAAAAGGAAAGCATGTTCGAAAACCATGTTATTTTTTTCTGTGATCACACAGAAGAATAAGCTATATGAGCTGCTTGCTAAATAAGCACTGATCTCAAATTCAGAGGACAAGAATTAATACTAGATTGTGACTGCTCTCCTCCAGGTTGTCTTACAGCTGAGAACACTAAGTTTTATTCCTGCTAGCATCAGTAACTTAAGAACCATCCCGTGGACACATTCCTCTTGTCCTGTTCTGACAGAAGCAGCAAAAAACCAGCATTAGTATGTGAGTTAAGCAGTCCAGGATAGCAAAATGAAGCGACATAGTACTGTATGAGACATGCAGATACCAATCATGTGGGAAGATGAATATGGCTCTCCAGTAAAGAAGATGAACGGCCTTGACATTTAATTATGAGCTAGAAGCTGCTATGGATACCAATACTGTTACAAATAGTTCCTAAAAATTTTTATTTCCTTTTCTGTTGTTGAAAGAATTGAAAATAGAAACAAATTATTTTTTATAAGGTTGAGTGAATATTTAATTTCACTGAGATTAGTTTCATGTTAGTTTCTGTACGCTCTTTTTATGAGTCAATTCACTGTTATTTCAGTTTGGATCAAAACAATTTTTTGGTCAATGGTGTGAATCAAACATACTTTATTTATATATCCACTCTGCTTGAATTTCAACACGTTAAGGAAATCTTTTTTCCCTGTATTTATATGTCTGTATATGATTTAACATCCAAAGTATGGCATTGGGAAGCAGACATCCTTAAAAATCCTTTATGTTCTCCAATGCAGATTCAAGAATGATTTATGCCACATGAAGATATGGTTGCGTTTAGAAATAAGCAATAACTGAAGATCCAGTGAAAATCTAATAAAATATTTGGCATAATTAGCATAATGCAGTATGCTTCAAACTCATTGTGAAAAGCATCCACAATACTATTTCAGATATACATTCCATAATCCAGGCTACCCACATATGTGTAGGTAACATTCATGTGATTTTCAGAGTTGAACTATATCAGCATCTTATTTTCAGTAAAGAACAACTAGAAGAAAACAGAAGAGACAAATTCCTAGCAAAAATAGTGAACAAGTAATAGCAACTCTGTTGGGATAGAATGAAATGCCTACTGTCTCTTTCAGACTATGTACAATTGCAGCTTTTTCCCAAAGATCATTAGCAGCATGATGAACTGAATCCAATTTGCTAGTTCTACACTGAGCATAAATTTAATCATGCAAAGTAAACAGCCCTCTGCTCCTGATCTACACTTCAGCATTTGAACTGTGCGTCCCATCAGTTGAAATTATTTGGAGCACTGCCAAGATATTGTTTTACAATTGTAGGGCTCTGTCTCAATGATTAGCACAAATAAAGAATAATCTGCAAGACTGTATGTATATGCTTCAGTCTACATGTGGAAGGGCAGAACAGTGGGTGCTTGCTGTTCTTTTTCCCCTTAAGGTCAAATTAACCAACAAATCTTTTAAGAGTTTAGCTAAAGACAGTAACTAGTTTTTTCATACTCTGTTATGAGCTCTATATAATCTCTAGTAGAAAATATACTGCAGAAAAAATGAGTTCATGTATGATGTTAAAGTATTAATTAAAACAATAAAGTAAAAAGATCCTATAGCATTAAGTGTGAAGTTGCACGTAATACATTTTGTATTCAGTGCATAAAGCAGGTTAGCACAAATGAACTTTGTGATCCATTGGCCTTAATTAAGTAGAATTGGTTTAGATCCAAGGATAGTATTGCAGGTGATAAAAAAATACACATACAATTATGAGTATGTATTTATTTCCACAGCCATGCAAATACTATTTCAAGTCTATTATGGTTTATCCAACACATTTAATGAATGACCAAATCTTTATCACTGAAGATTTTTTTTTTAAAGCTTTTTCTTTGATAGTTCTGCAGAAGAAAATAATTTTCCATCTGAGAGTTTAGCAGTAAAAATGGAAGAAAGAAGTAATGGAGTGGGAGTAGGTTGTGGAAGTAGGTTGTGAGGTCAGAGAATTATCTTCCAGCTAGCTCTTTTCTCCTTATCTCTTGTCAACATGTTCCAACTACATACAGTTCTGCAGCTTACAGTTGTGTAACGCGGAGAAAGTAATTATGTCTAAATGCTGAATGTAAGTAGTATCAGGACCACTGCAGGGAAAGAGATGAGGAATATTGCCTTGATGCCTTTCACTGGTGACAGCTACAACAGATTTATTTAATCAAATCGCTGAGGGTTCTTGAAAATAAGGAATGGATTAGGAAACTGGACCACAGCTAGCAAATAAATACATAAATAGTAAATAAAAATAAGATACATGCACGCAAAGCAAAAAAAGAAAAACCCACCCACAACGTTGTTTATTAACAGTTTCACTCCATGCTTATTGAAAATATTACAGTGCTTTTTCTAGTAGAAATACCTTACTTGATGCTACTTCAGAAGACGTGTATGGCAAGTTTTAGCACTGAGATCTGCATTTGAGATCTGTCTATATTTTATGAAAATAAATGGGGTTTAGGCAGCAGCAAGGTACAATTTATACAAAAACCAACCAAACCAAACCAAACCAAACAAAAAACCCAGCAATCCTAAAAAAATGTCAGTAAGATCAAAAAGCACTGTTCGGGCACAGAACATCTTTTTTGTTATGACATTTTCCTGGGAAAAAAAAGTTCAACTTCTCTGATGTTATTTTGCCTGTGTGAAAACAGGAATATATGGAGAAACATTAACCAGACCCAAAGTACCTGCATCAAAAATTCAGATAAGTAAACTGTTAAATTTGATGTTGTAGTTTTTGTCACTTATGGGTCAACATTATCATACCTTGAACAGGAAATGATTAAAAAAAAACCACAAGGTAAAGGACTTCTGTGAAGTTCATTTATTATCTTTCCCATGCATTTGAAATAACAATACTGAGATCGTTACAGAAATGAAATATGCTTTACTTGTTATAACATTTCCCTAAACACTGACAATTCACATTAACTATGACTAAACTATATCTGGGTAAATCTAGGAATATCTGTGCTCACCTCAGGCTTTGAAAGCCATTGGGACAATCTGTCAAGCTCACCTGGCTTGTCATAGACTAAGCCTGTCATGGAGAAAAAAAAGAGTATAAGTAGACTTCTAAAATAAAAGTTGTGGATGTGATGTGAGGTAATTCATTTGCAGTGGAAAGAAATGGAAAAGACTGTGGTGTTTTTTGTATTTCATACTTATTAAGAAAGAGATTTAAATGCTTAAGCAATAAGAAAGAGTATGTCACTCTTTTGGAGTTGACTCTACCACTGAGGTGCTGAACATACCTAAAAAGGTCTTCAATAAGCACTGAAGATTCTCAGCACTTTGCAAGTAATGGTCAGAACCTTTCAGTGTGATGCCTTGAATATGTTACAGTTCAATTGTTGTGAAAGATTTAAATGACAACATCTGAAGTCGTGGCTAATTTAGTAGCTTTGTATAATTAGAGTGAACAGACACAGTTCTTCTGTCATACAAAATGGCATAGAGGCAAGTGTAAATTGTGAAAGAAATATTCTTCTGTCAATAATAAGCCTAATTTCTTGAGAAGGGGAAAAGAAAGAAAGATAGCAGTATTGTGCCATATGATCGCTTTTCAGCCAGCATTTAATTAAATAACAACAACAAAAAAAAAGCAGTTTGAATCTGCTGAAAACCAACCAAAGCAGAAAAATGGAACAAAACATTCAACAAGCCATTCCACCAGAATTTTAAGAGAAAACAATTTCATAAAATGATCATTATTTGTAAAATTTACTGTAGCAGGATACTTTGCTTAATAATATTTCCCAGCTGGAAATAGCAATTATTTTTCCCTGACAGATCCACTATAAAAGTACATTACACCTTAGCATTAATACTTACAATCAAAGCCAATGGAAATCCAGGCTGTATTTAAATGCATGAAAATTTTATAGGCTTTTTAACATGTGAAATATCAGTCATTAAGATTTCTTAATTTACTGGAGTAAAACAGTAGACATTAATTAGGAAGAAAGCTGTATTCAACATTTTATTCCTGTAGTTAAAATGATGGTTTTATCCTCTGTCTTCCTGGCTATTTTGTATTTCTGTTGATGCTAGCTTAATTAGTAGTTAACTACATTTGTTATTCGCTGTCTTTTTTTTCTCCCCCCCCCAAAAAAAAAGTGTGTTTAGGAAAAAACACTAACAATGTCAGTCTTTCAGGACTGTGAATGTTATGGGTTACACTACTGTAAGTAGTATCTAGAATACTGGAGTCCTGAAACTCTCAAACGTCATACAAATATTACACCAAATGCTGTATTAAGGGTCTATGTTCACAATAATTTCTACAAAATATGAGTTTATTCTATTTTCTATTTCATTTCATATGAAATGAATGTCCATATGTAGCTAATGCTTAACACAGTAACTTCCCACAGTTCTTTATCATTTAGTTTCACTAAATATGTATTAATTTAACTCTGTTAATAACTTCAATAAATAATTTTCTAAAGAGCTGATAAATCTTATGTAGAAGTGACTGAAAAATTGTTCTAGAAATAGAGAATAGTAAGCTGTTCGAAAACTAGAACTGGAGTTATTTGCTCTCAGTTGCATTTCCAGGGGGTCTCCTGTGAGACTTAGCTGAAATAAAATGCATAATCAAAATATCATGTTATTTTTCAATTAATGATGATAATTGTTTTGTATTAAGATCAATTATTTATAAAAGCAGGAAATAAATGCATAGCTAAAATCATCATGTAGTATCACTGAGTTTTGACATGTTACTGTTTTGCAAATCTAGGAATCATTTAATACTTATAAAATATCTACGGAGATGCTATTGTATGTATACACATCTTTATGAAAAAAAAAAAATGCAAAGCAGTAGCAGAATCTGACTGCCTCTGTTCTCATTCGCACAACTGCTTCATTTTATCATTTTCTTTTGTCCCAGGAGCTAAGACACTAGAGGGAATTTTCCTTACATTTCTTAAAATCTTTGTTCGTGGCTTTAAGAAAGAGTTCCATTGGCATACATTCTGTTTCTGAAGAACTGAAAGAAACCATCCTAAGCAGATTTCATAGTGCCCTTTTACTGCTTTTCTCTTCCAGTGAATCCTTGCATATATCAAACCTTAAGGATGATACTCCAGAGGCCACTGTAGCACTTAGTGCACCAGGATAGATAGAGGAAATGCTGGTGCTCAATCAAAAGATGCGTGTGTTGACTCAAAGAGAAAACAAGGTTGAAGAGAAATAGATGTAACCTGACTGAAGTTAGGGGGTTAGGTGCAGTTTTCTAGTATGACGAATTTAATGCAACTCTGTGAATCCTATGCCAGTCATTAATATTTACAAAATCATGCCCTGAGTTTTCAGAGGGCTGAGCCTATTTCTTAAATTATGACAGAATACATCATAGTTAGTTAGAGTTTTTCTCTTACTACTTCAATTTTGAACATTATAGAAACAATTCATTTTATACATCTAAAGCCATGTGCAGTACTGATGAACTGTTACAGTCCTAACTTTAGCCTTTTTTATAGAAACACCATTTTTCAGGTAGATCCACTGAAACAAATGGGACAAACTAGGTAAATAATAATGAACATGAATGAAGACTCTATAACCTGTTCTCTTATAAAAATTCTTTTCTCATACACGTACGCAAAAAAGATTTTGAATATGGATTAGACTGTCCTTAAATTTGAGAGAGTTTTGTAAGGCAGAATATAAATAATTTACTGTACAAAATCAGAATTCAGTTGAGACAAAGGATATTTACATGCAATATATATATTCATTAGTAACATGTAGCTATCAAAGGATGATCAGATTTGTAATAGGGTAACTAAAAAAATGTTCTCAAAAGGAGGATGGATCTCCTGGATGACACAAATCTTGCCACATCAAAATGTGCTGTTTCTTAAGAGAAAAACTGTATTTCCCTGTTTGAGGAAGCTCAGTCATTTTGACCATCAAAAGACAGAAAGTGTAGTATTCATGCTAAATGATGTGCTAGTAACTATTTCCTTAGAGATAATGGAAATAAATTTCAAAGCTGTGATTGCTTATATTTAAGAAATTTAATAAACAACCATTTTTTATAGCTCTTAAGAAATGGAAATAATTACCTTATTGAGCAGTATTAAAAAAATTAAAATACTAGGTAGTATAAGAGAGACTCCCTGTGATTAGACATGAACATTTCAGCATGCACCCAAAAAGGTCCTGCTAGAATGGATCTAAATAATTTATTTTCTTATTTCAAAAAATGTAACTAGAAAAAGCAAGACTGGAAATGTTCTAATCCTTATTTCCACCTCTACCCTTCAAGTGCAACTGTCAGTCAGCAGAGTAGTACAACCTTAAAGTGCCATGTAGAAAATGATTGATAGCAATGCATCACAAGGGATGTAAAACATTTGTTTTGGTTGAAATTCTGTTACTGTAAACTACATGATAACTCCATAGATTCATTAAAAATGGAACAACATGCATCACCTAAGAATGTAGATCAACATGTTGGGAAACCTCAAAGCTTGCTGGACAAGCATCGGTCCAATCAGGCTTATTTTACATTGTACTGCTACTCTAATTTTAGAGGATTAAAATTAACTGTAAGCATTCTATTGGAATAAAGTAAACAAAGAAAAGTCTGAAGTGTATTGTGATGAGAATGAAAAAAAAGGTTTAAATGAACTTAAACGAACAGTTATAACTTACCAGCTTGACCGAGTGTGTACTCCTGATATCTTGTTCCTATTCTGTTTGTAGCTGTACAATTATACTGTCCAAAATCACTGTCAGATGTAGGAGCAATCTTTAAAATGAATACAATTCATAAGTATTACTTTTTAAGCAAGTATATTTCTTTTAAAAAATCAGAAATGCAAACGTTCTGTGAAATCAACATTGAGATGTGTTCTTACTTTAGCCTATCTAGGATATTCCTTAAAATACAGATCTAAATTAATCATTTTTCAAGTTAAACTCCCTCTTTTCAAATTGAAATGTGGAAACTAAATAATGAGAAATGGAGACGTTATTCAGTTTTATAATTTCACTTCTGAACAAGAAAGAAAATCATCTAATAAGCTGCAACGTTTGTTCACAAAGACAGATAATATTTGCTTGTATTGGACCGAACTAAACAATGATAGGTCTGAAATTTGCTGATTCCTACGAATACTGCAAGGATCACATTTTACTGCTTATTGTTTACAAGATTCACGACATACTAGACATTCAGGAAGAAAAAAAGAAGATATAGGTATGTGACAACTATAAACTCAGGTTAATATGGATGTGAACAGAAAAGGTAATGGATATCACAGTAAGTTAGGGTCTTATTGGAATTCCAGCCCATCCAACTGTTCAGGTGATAGAAGAATGGAAAAGAACTCAAAAAACTACAGGCTGTAAAGAATATTTTGTGTTGTTAAGTAAAGCCTCTTGAAAGATTTCCTTTAAGTTAAGAACTTAAGTTAAGATCAACTTCAAACAAGGGTAAGACTATGTCTTTTTAAACATACAACCTCCGTTCAAGACTTATGAAGAACAGAGAACTTGTAATTCTACTGTTAATCTACATACATGCTTAACAACAATAAGATAGACAGTAAGAACTGTGTTCTTGTAGCATCTTCATTTTTACACCCTGTGCGCAAATTGTTAGTAAAAATTACCAGAGTTCCCTATGTCAAGGAAGATATTTCAACTTCTTTTTTAATTTGCAAAACCCCAAGAAAAGATGGAAAAGGAAGGGTTTCCATACCCATAAGTTGCCAGGGAGGAGTAAAAGAAGAAAAATGGAAGAAAAACTGCATCATAAAATCTTTGTAAACTTGACTTTTTTGTAGTTAACTAGAGGTTCAATAATATTTCTGCTAGGTGATATTAATCTATATTGATATACCAAAATAGCACCAAAGGGTGGATTAAGTGTCAATCTATATAAATCAACAGATTTCAGTGACAGTCCAAAATTTTCTTTAAGGGAACTGTAGAGATTATTTCATGGAAAGCTGCGGCTTTGGAAATGTGAAGTTACTAACTGCCTCTTTTCTCTGTATAATTTAATTTTTAAATCAGATGGCCAAAACCTATGGCTTAAATTACATCAGTTAATTTCATAGAAGCAGAGAATCACAGAATTGCTCAGGTTGGAAATGACCTTAAGGATCATCAAGTCCAACACAACCTAACCATCCTAACTCTAACAACCCTCCACTAAATCATATCCCTGAGCACCACATCCAAATGGTCTTAAAACACATCCAGGGATGGTGACTAATCACCTCCCCGGGGAGCCTATTCCAGTGCTTAACAACCCTTTCTGTAAAGAAGTGTTTCCTGATATCCAACCTAAACTTACCCTGGTGCAACTTGAGGCCACTTCCCCTCGCCTTGTCACCTGTCATTTTATTTTTAACCAGAATTACTAAGATTACACTGATGACATTATCAATCAAATCAAAATAACTGACAGACTGCTACCAGAATACTTTTAGAAGTCATTAGGAGAGATTGATATGATGTACTTCACATGTGATGAGGTAAGTACATACCATGCATGGTTACCAAGACTCAGCTAACCTAAGTAAACTCAGTTACCTATGCCATTTCAGGCAAATCAAAGAATCAGTTATTAGAATGACTGAATATTTCCTTGCTTTCTTCTTCCCACAACACAGCGTACATCTGAAAACTTGTAGTTAGTTTCTCTAAGAACTCCAGAAAGGAGAATACAATTTGCTACCAAAGACTATTTTTCATCAGACAAATGAACAGAGTTATCAACATATATGCATGTCAACTTGTCATTTATTTTAAAATTTCATGTCATTATGCTCTTCTGACATTGTATTACATAACGATGCACATTCTGTCTTTCTTCTCTGCCCCAATTTCCCATGAGACAATCACTTAACTTCTCATGGAAAATTAGGCATTTCTATTACAAGTAATGCTTTTTCTGAAAGCAACAACAGAATAATATAGTTAAAGGAAATTTCAAGTTCATTGGGACTTTAGAAAGATGACTTTATTTCAGTACACACTACACCTCTCGCTTGGGATCTGACGTACATCCCCCCTCTACAGAATTAATCCTATAGCTTCTGAACTATTTTCCTATTGCAACAGAGAAACCTAATTTCCTCAACGCTTCTCACATTCAGTGAGGAGAGAATATCTAGTCACAGTAACAGGTGTGACTACAAATGGAGATAGTGGTTACAGACACTCTTCTATGCAATATTTAAGGACCATGGCTTGCTGTGCATTACTGTTCAGCAGTTCATTGTTTATTCAAGATAATACAGTAGCTGGAAAATTAAAGTCCATTCTTTGTCTTCTCCCTTTCTTGGGCTTTATTTTCTCAAGTGCACATTTGATGTAAAAGAAAGGAACATAGTTCTTTGTTTTCCAGTGCTCCTGTGACCCCCAAATCACCAAATCAACTGCAGTGTTTTACCACTTTACCTTTCTCCATAGTCACAATTGAAGCCAAATACACAGTTCTGTATATGCCAAGCACCTTCCATTAAGTCACTTAATTTTTAAATTTCAACCTGATGGTTTAATTTTATACTTATGCCATTATTTACTTGCCATAAATGCAAATTACATTCAATGCCAGCAGAAACCTAAAAATATTATGTAAATTAGGTTTATTTCCTAACTGTTCAAAAGAAATGTGGAGATAAATCAGTTCACCCTTTTTTTGTTTTGTTTTCAAGAGCTTTACTTACTAGATTGTAAATCTTACCTTACACATACAGTATAACACCTGCAATAATGCCATGCTGAAGAAGAAATTAATTAGTTAATGTCACTGAACTGATTTCCATTTTAAGCCTCACCTCCAGAATCAGCTTTCTTCCTGCGCTGTAGGTCTTCAGATGTGTTGTATTTTTTACTGGTAGAACTAATTTTCCTCTTCTCCACTGAACTGAGGCAGATGGATTTGCTAGCACTTCACATGTTATATTGATGGGATTGCCTTCCCAAGAGAAATACATAGTTTGATTTGACAGAAACGTTGGAGCATCTGTAAAAAAAAAAAAAGTAATACACATATACATTAACTGTTTCAGTAAAACAAGCTATATAAACCTACTGAAACATTAACATTTTAGAAAGTTTAATTGAATTCTGTTTCAATTTATTTCTAACCATGACAACAGTATACAATCTTGGGTTTCTAGAGACCTAATTTTCATATGCTTCTCCTCTGCTGAAATTGTTTCAGATGAAATTCTCAGGAAGAGAAGACCTATCAATTATATTTAATATTAGGCAACATCAGTCCCTTGAAAGACGTGACTCAGAAAGATTATTTCTTCCCAAGAATGAGAAACTCTTCAGTAAGACCCTGTGTGACAAATGTAATTGGACTACGAAACTTATATAAGTTGTTTGGTGATTGAATTTATAGTGTCCACTTTTGCCATGGAGAAATTACATTCACTATGAATGTTCCTAGATATCTAGGAGCTTCACCAATTTCCTGTTAGAATTAGTATACACCTTATCAAATCCTTCTAAAGAAGCTTAGCAGTGTGAATAAACCTAGAAGAAAAAAAAATGAAAGCGAAAAGAATACCTAAAATATTGCAGTGTATTCTACCAACTTCAGGTAAAACATTGTACACATCAGTACGCTGTCTATTTAAGATAATCTTTGTACCGGAACCAGAAAATAAAAAAAAATGGTGCATTTTCCTTGCAAATCTGGCTGTACATGGCTATGTTAAACATGTAGCTAAACACTGAAAATGTCGTTTGCGAACTAATTATAATTTTGAGATCATAGTGCCTGAAGTGACAAGGCTTTTCCACTCTGCAGTTTCCTGGAGACCCTGATGGCCTCCAGAAAATGAGAGGGAGGGGAGCAATTCTTTCCCTGCTCTTCTGCCTCTGTCTTGGGTAAAACAGTATTTTTTGTCTACTGAATATTTTGAAGTATTTTTTTCATTTTAATCCCACTCATTATATTTTAAGAGTATTAAGTAAGTATTCTTTATAATACTGAAAGAGAGGGAAACTAACACAATTCTTGAGGATAATTATCAATTATAATGGGTGTCACAGCATTTCTTTTTAATACTTGAAATATTTATGTATGTATCTATTTTAATAAAGAAATCTTTAATGCTTCCTGTTTTGTCTCAGGAAGTTCTGTTTTAGTCTTCTCAATTAGTTTAACTTTAGGCTAGAAAATTTCTAGAAGTCTAACAAAGACCAGAACAGAGCATATTTAACTGAACTGTAAAATTTATCTTTGGGAATGGTGTAAAACTACTTTCTTCTTTCTGTAGTGCATGTTTTCAACTTCCTTATGTGCTTGCCTTTCTGCAAAACTAACTTTTTGGTGTTATTATGCTACTGGTGCATGCATATTACAGGCTTTTACAAGAGAACTGTCACCAGTTCCAAGTACAAATCAAATCTGCTACACTGATCAACACAATCAACATATTTTGAATAAACCAAGTATGTCTTCCTATGGCTTTATTTACAAGACACAGAAGCTCATCCTTTTTTTCAAGTGTTATAGCAAGAAATTCTACTGCCCTTTGATTCTCATAGGCCTTTAAAAAAAACATACTTCAGCATCTAAACATCATGAAAAGAATAGAGTACTAAAGAGAGTTCTGGATGTGACATTTCAAAACATAGGACTTCCTGAAAAAAAAAAACAAACAAAAAACAAAACCTTTCCATATGCCTGTTTTACACTTAAGTATGGAATGCTGGAATACCAAAAGACCAACTCCTGGCTTTTCGTCTAGAAAATAATTTAGCAGTGGAAGTCACTTAAGGAAAACTTTGTGAACTGATTTGTGCCTGGCAGACAGCTTTTGTACTGAACGTGACAAATGTATGGATAGAAATCTCATCACAGTGTGCATGAGACACAAAATGTGGTTACCATACAACAGATTTTAGATAAGCTTTATCCTCCATAATGCGTAAGTTCATTCTGTCCATGAACAATGGCACGAATATGGAAGATGTAATGATGCTCTGTGAGAACCCAAATAACTTTCCTTCCTAGGTAAAATTGCATGATTTGATGCTTATTGTGGATTTAAGTATACATTTGGCCAATTCATATCACATGTAAGCGTTACAGGTAAAAAAGGACTGCACACTTGCTGTACATACATTTAGGAGAACAGGGACTTTCGTTTTAAACTGCTCTATCTTCTAAAGACAGATATTTATTGGATGCTTAAAGTATCTGTTTATGTTCTAAAAGAATAATTTACAAGGAGTTTAGGGCTGTGATTTACATGCGACTATACATACTAACAGCAGTTTTAACATTCGAAATCACAAACAGTGCTAGAAGTCCTTCAAATAAAGATATACCAAAATCAACGACTCCCAAATGTGAAGAACTGCTAAACAAAATGAGCTTTTCATTGTCCCTCTTAAAAGCCTTGGGGAAAAAAAGGCTTTTCAGTAATTTCCGCAGTAGTTAATAGATCCAATGAAGAGAAAAGAAAAGGAAACATTAATGGTTTTATTCAGACAAATCATCTTAAATTCACTACTAAGTAAGAGATAACTGGAATGATGTTTCATACAAAGAAAAAAGTCTGGAAATCATTATTTAAGTATGTATAGAAGATAATGTAATATTTCTTATAAAATAAAAATGCTGAAGTGGAAGGAGATAATTGTTTTATAGAGAGATTTTCCTTTTTCTTGTACATTTTCATCATTAACTGTAGCATAGCGGGCTTAAATGATTACAAGATTGGTATTTCAAAGGGAAGCACATAATATGTTTAGCATAAAGCAGTGAACAGAAAAAGAAACACTTCAAAGTTTTGAAAACATGACATTGACTATTTGATGTCTTAAAATCTAATGTCTTCAGTCTTTTAAAATAGCTGAGAAACAAATATCCTATATCATACAGTGATGTAGGATATTAAATGCAATGCATGTACTGTATAATAAGAAAAAAAAAAACAGATATATGAGAAAGGTAAAACAACAACAACAAAAAAATAGAAATATGTAACTGAGGATTCATTTCTGCCAGACAACAAATCAGTTCAGGGCTGTTCATAAATGAACCATTCTTTCTAAGCATTTGTCCGTTGAATACTACCAGTTTAAACAACATACTTGACTTCTAAGTGGCTAAATACAGAACTATGAGATTGAATGCACTTCATTAAAAAAAAAAAAAATCCTTCACAAATTTAATAAAAACTGAGTCACAGATATTTATTCCATTTAAACCTTATGACTCCACTAAAAATAAAAAATGCTGCCAAAACACACAAAAGCAACTTTTCCTATCAGTTGCCATAGGCAAACAATGAAGTTCCTAAGTACTGTTATAAGCTTTAATGATGAAACATGGAGCATTATTTTGGAGAGATGAGGTAATCCAAATTAAAAATATGCTTAGAATGAAGACACACTATGCCATATAGGTATGAAATTAAACAAAATCCTTGTTAGAGTAGGATTCTGTAAGCAATTCTTACTTCAGAATGGCACTTGAGAATATTAGGGAATCAGCACCAGCTATACTCAAGCTTTTCATTTTCCTAAATGGGAAAGAAACTGACAGCACAGCACAACATTTAGGAAGAGTGGTCACTCATAAACAGCGTACAAAGATTGCGTAAGAGAAGCAAATGCTGAAATTTTTTTCTGGCATGTAGATATTCGTATTAGGTATAATGTCCGAGAACAGTGATTCAAGACAAATCAATAAATCATTTGTCTCATCCAGAAAATAATTCAATTAACAACTTCAAAGATCCAGTTCTGGTGTATGTTCAGAGTTGAAAAAAAAAAATTGGATATGGCAGATTACTGATTCAGTGCATGTGTCCAGACAGCCGTAACAGCAAACTAGTGAGCAGAATCAGATTTGCACTTCATTTAAAAGCATATGCTATCCAACTTTTTGGTATTTGTTCCTCAAATAATTAATCTTCCAAAATCCCACAGTGAAAAACATAATGGATTGTCAGGTCTAAGATGCTGGATGTTTCCTGTACTACATTTTTGGAAATCTCTCTCTTATTTTGTTAACACTGGCACATATTTCCCATCATCAATACTTTAACAAATCTAGTACTTTCCTTGACTTCAGTAATGATTTCCTTCCCCTTCTGTTTTTGGTTCTTGTTCAAATGCATACAATAAAACACATAGTAGTCAATAGTAAGATAGACTATCTACTAATTATACAGTTTATAAAGGAGCAGGAGTGTTCCAGTAAGGGAACCAAGTTCTAGTCCCTGGTCACCTTGACTACGACTTTATATTTTTAAACCCAAACATCACACTGATTTCTTCATCTCCATAAAAAAAGGTACAAAATTTGTAATGAAGATAAGGTATCTTTCTGCTAGATGCAATGTGTGTTTTTTATGATGGTACCATCAGACGTTAACAAATTATGAGCAATGAATGTCTGCATAGTTCTGGTGCTTCGCACTGCCAGACATGCAAAATCTCAAAGTATTTTTTGCTGAATTTCACTTGGCATGATGAAAAAGTATTTGGTTCATCACTTAAAAGAAAAAAAAAAAAAAAAAGAAAGAAACCAATTTCATAGAAAAATATGTTGTGAACGGATAAACCTATTTAAAATAATCTAAAACTGCCTCAAATATTTATGCCACTGCTGGGATACAGTTTTCAAAGTGGCACTTTGATATCTTCAGCTGGTCTAGTTTCACTAAGTTTAATCTGAATTCATAGCTTCCTGATTTACTAATGTATGGTATCTGAAAATCTGTGATCTTGTGAGTTGTACGTATCTCTGATATTTACATATTTCTTATCCAACAACCAGAAATAAAGGCAAGTCATTGACTGCAAATGACTGCTGTGAATTCTACCATGTGCTTCCAGTGTGAGTTTATTTGAGTGTAAGTGTTTTAGTGTTCAAGGATTTATATGGGGTCAAAACATGAAGGGAATGTCCATCAGATGGAGAAAAAAAGACAATAAAATTGTAGCTCAGTGATTTAAGCTAATATGATGTTTAAAGGAAACAGACCACAT